TTTTTGGTCGTTTTATATATATTGCATTTGTATATTCTAAGGAATGTAGATGAAGTTGTTTGTCACTATACGTCTATGATTATTTGTTTCTGTTGTGGTAACTTTTATGTTTAAATTGCTGTACATGAAGTTTTTGTTGAACATGATGTTTTTGTTTTTCACAATATGTATTGAATTTGGTTGGATGTTAATTTGTTGTACATGAAGTTCTAAGTCAATCAGGGTCATTCATGATTCTTTTGTTTAACTATACAAATGCAATATACTTCAATCGGCCATTGATAAATATGAACAACATGCTATTTTCTGCACTGTGGTATTACGGTTTTTCGCGGCCACATTTATAACACAAATAAATGGAAAAAGTAATAATCAGTGGAACACACTCTTGAGTTTGCTGGAAATTGTAGATGTCTATGAATTATGAAGAAGACACTTCAAAATGGACACAAGGTGAAGCGAAATGGCCGTCGGAAACTGAAAAATGCTTGGTGGATATTATGTTACAAGAGGTGCTGGACGGAAATTGTGTTAGGGGCAAATTCACATAGCAACAGTGGGTTCATAAGACAGACAAACTTAATACGACATGCCCGAGGAAATATCACTACAGCATAAAGCAAGTTGAAAGCAAGGTGAGACGCCTGAAAACGACTTGGACGAGGTTTTTCCACTTGCGGAATAATGCAACGGGTTTCGGTTGTGATGATGTGCGCGGTCTCATCATTGGCGATGATGATTTTTGGAAAAGATGGACTGATGTAAGTTCCACTTCAATTTAATTCTAAAAGTTCATTTACCTTGATATTGGATGACTGTTTTTTNNNNTTATGCTAGTATTTCTGTTGGAGATGCACTTCACTGTTGGTTATTGTTTTACCTATTTTTGTATGCTAAAACCAAAATGTGTGATTCCACAGACTGAAGTAGTTTGTGTATTTGTATGTTGGGTGTTGTTTTCATATTGTTTTTTCAACTATTGGTGTTTTGAAAATTTTCCCTCAAATGGTCCTTTTAATTTTTTCTTTATGTTCAATAGATGTTATGGAATTCAATGTTGTATACGCCTCATTCCAATAATTGGTAGTGGTTCTTTTGTTACAAATATTGTGAGTAGGTCAGAGTATTTTGAATTTTTTCTTTCACAGCACCTTTATTTTTGTACTTATTTCTTTCAGCTTGCTTTGAACTAATTTTTTTGAATCTGTACTTTCTCATTTCGCTGAATTTTGTTTAGGCAAATTGTAGCGCCCCATTTGTTCCGGAATAATTGGATATTATTATTTAGCATTTATTTTATTTTCGAATTTATTATTCGGACTCGATAATTTTTTATATGCTCGTAATTGCTAAATTGTATTAATTTAAATGTCGAGCTGAATAGTATTATTTATTTTAATTTTGGTCGAACCAAAAATTTTAAATAACCGAGACTTCGAACCGAGCGAGTATGCATGTTAATTTTATCGAACCGGCCCGCGTGAAGAAAACCACCCCGCGTGAGAAATGAAACCGCCGAGCCCTTTTCCTCTCTCGTGCATGCATGAGGTTTGTTTTGAATTTTTGAAATTTAAATTCATGCCTTATCCCCCTTTTCCAGCCATGATCTCCTCTTTGGCTTTATTATTTGGGATGTTACAAATCAACGCATTGAAAAGGAGATCGTCTTATCACTCCCTTCACCTCCTCATTTCCCATCTCTCATTCACGCTCTCTCATTCATCTCTCTCTCCCTCATCACTTTTGTCCCCAGCCCAACTCTCCCTCTCTTCTTTCTTTGTTCGCCGAAAAATTCTCCAGCCCCGCCGTAACCTCCGCCTCCCTTCTTTTGTTAGTCAACTCGCTAGAATTACAGCCACACGTTGCCATCAGAGAGTCGCCACCCCGCCCGACTCCTCCGCGTGCGCACTGGCCCGCCTCCGCGAAGCCGCCGCGAGCCACCTCCGTCAACCTCAACACGACAGCGACGCCCGACCACTGTCACGCACGTCGACCACCTTTGCGCCTCCATTCCACGATCACGAGCCACCTTCGGTCGTCACTTTCGCCGAGCGAGCCGCCGTTAGACGTCGAGTGAGCCAAGCGGATGATCTTCCCCGCCCGTAGGATTTGTCGTCTCTGAGCTCCATTTTCCGAAACCGAATCTCGACTATCCTCCCCTTTGGTGTTTGGTAAATCCATTTTACTAAACTCCACAATCTTTATGATTATGTGTGATGTTCGTGAATTTGATATGTGTTGATGACTATACGTTCGATTCAAATGATTTTTCGTCAAATATTTATCGAACATCATTAGTTGTTATGAAATACTCACTATGCTCGTTTGTTGCTGATTTATAAGTGATAATACTTGCTGTCGAAGTATTTGATTATGCATGAATGGTTTGAGACTTATGAATATTTTGGATTTTATCTCGAACTATTAGTTTTATACATGCGTAGATCTTTCTTAGCTGTTTAAATTGTTTAACTGTTTTTGGTAGTTAAGTAGTGCCCGTCGAATATTAAAGTTTTTAAATTGAGATTTTGCGAAAAATAAACTCTGATTTTTATAAATAAATTCGGTAAATTCTTTAAAATAAAATGGGGCATTACACAAATTGAGTTTTTTTCTACAAGTGCTGGTTTTGATATTATTTCCTCAACTGTGGGTCAACATTTTCTTTTTATTACGCAGAGAAATCACCAAGATCATGATCTAAAGAGAAAATTGTGCGTACACTATGAAGAATTAACTACCATATTCTTTGGTTCGACCGCAATTGGCCGCTATGCACGGGCGTCGTCTTAGAGAGGAGATGTGAATGCAAGCATGGGAGGGCAAGAAGAAATCGGTAGGCGGAGTAGGCCAACACATACCAGTGGATAGGACAAGGACTTCACGACACCACAGTCCTACAGAACTAGCTGGAGGCATAAACGGAAGCAAATTAGGGGCGACACAGTATCTGTAATCAACTCTATGAAAGAGTGCGTGAAAAACATGAGTTACACACTAGCTAGCCTTAAGAAGGATCAGCAAGACCAAAAGGAGCAGAAGGAGGCTCTTCTTCTACTTGATGCTATGGAGCTTCCCGACTCTGTCTATAAGGTTGCTTTGAAGAAAATACTAGACACCATGGCCTTTCATATGTTTCTTAACATGGCGAATGACTGGAAACGACGCTGCTTTTGGAGGTTTGGGCTGAGGAGGCTTCTGGAAGTGGTTGACGGTTATTCCTTGTTTGTGATTTGATTCTTCAAAACTATTCACATCTTCACTAACTTGGTTCCCTGTTCTAGAGATATGTGTTGTAGAACATTTGTGTGCTTGCTTGTTCACTATTTGCTTGGATTGCTGTTATGTGCATTTTATCATCCTTTTATATTTTTCAACTCGTTATTATAATGATTTGTAGGATGTCTTACGTAAACGAAAATATTGGATATAACGATGTAGACGACATGATGGAAATAGAAGACGAATCAACAGGGCCATTCGAACCATATGATGATGAGTCTGATGAAGATATTGTGGACGATATATATGTGAAAGGACGACCACAAAAAATAGCACGCGCAATTAAATTAGGCACAAAAGTTGTGTCACATTTAAAAAAAATAGTGCGCATTATGCAAAGCTCCCCGTCGACTTTTGAACCGCGCAAGAGAAGACCCTTCCGTGAATCAAGCATTACAGGAATGCAATGGGTTAACGAGCTTTTGGAGGGGAACCCTACAAGATTTTACCATGCCATGGGTGTAGATAAATAAGTTTTTCGCTGGCTATGTGGAGAATTGCAAAGGAGAGGCGTTCATGGCCTTTACAAGCAAAAAAAAGTGTGCATTGAAGAAAGTGTGGGTATATTTTTGCACGCAATAAGAGGACATCAACGACATAGGCGTTCAGGTGAGACTTCTAGACGATCTAATGAAACTATTTCACGACATTGTCATATCATTATCACTGCCCTCGCTGATATGGGACTGGATTACATTCTACCACCAGACGTGAATCGGGTACCGGCTTGGATACGCAATAATAACAAATTGTATATGTATTTCAAGGTGACAATGTTTGTAGTAATTTTTTATTTACTTCTTTCATTCTTGTTCATTAAGCTTTAACTATCATAACCAACAGGACTGCATCAGCGCAATTGACGGCACCATATTACCAGCATGGGTTCCCCGTGGTCATCGAGGCTTACAGATGCAGAAAAGGATATTTAGCCCAAAACATGATGGTTTCTTGTGATTTCGACTTGAAGTTCACCTTCGTGTTGGCAGGATGGGAAGGTAGCGCTAATGATGCCCTAAATTTCAAAGATACATTGTCCAACCAAGGTATCAATTCCCTTCCCACCACCGGGTATGTCCGCCTTCTCAAATATCTCTTTTTGATTACACAATCTCAACTCACATTCACTCTTTTTTGTACACTATAACGAAATAAAAATTTTGTAGGTTAATATTATGTGCTCGATTCTGGGCATTCAAACCATCTCGGTTTTTTGGCGCCATACTGCAGCAAGAGATATCATCTGCCAGAGTGGGTCAGTTCAAATAGGACCCCCAGAAATGTCCGTGAACTATTTAATAAACGTCATGCAGTTGTACATATTGTCATCGAACGGTCCTTTGGTATACTTAAAAACAGGTTTCCAATTTTGAAGAACTTAATGCCGAGATACTCGCTTAAGTCGCAGACGGAATGGTTGTGGCTTGTTGTGTTTTACACAATTTCATACTGACGCATCAAGAAAAGAACACGACACCGACCCAGTTCTTACAGCCCGATTATGTTCGCCAATGTGATGCGGATGATATGACGCTCCCGTTTATGGATAGATCGCATCCCTCGGCAGCGGGCGAAGAGGAGCAATGTACATTGCGTGATAGAATTGCAACGGCTCTATGGGAAAATCATGTGAACGACAATCGTTAATCTCATCACTAATCTATTTTTTGTTGGGTCCTGCATATTTAGTTTTACGTTGTGTTTGTAGTTCGAGTAACATCTGTGACACTTTCTAGTAATCCAACATTTCACTTTGAAAGTACTACCCATACATGTGCAGTACAAATTTATTTTATTTACGTTTGGATTATATATAAGTATAAATACACCTATTAAAAAATAAATATATAATTTTATGGAAGCTTTTAATAAATACATGTATTATATTATATTATATTTCTATATATATGACAAACATATTAATAAATATACGTATTACTAAAATACATACTATACATGTCTGAAATATAAATATATATATACACGTATTAATAAATAAATATTATATCATATGTAAGTATGCATACGCATATTACTAAAAACTATACTTTAAAAATAATTTAATTTATGGTTGTTCTTAAATATGTATATTTATATGCATATATATATATATATATA